AAAAAAAAAAAAAAAATAAGGACTTCCTGATGCTGTAGGCCAGGGATCTTCTAACTTTTTAAAGAAATATTTTCAGCTTTGCTGGTCTCCATAGCAGCTACTTAGCTGTCGTTGTATTACAAAAGTAGCTATGAAAAATAGGTAAAGAAAACAAAAAACAAACAAAAAAAAATGTGCCCCAATTTAGCCCATGATCCAAAGTTTGCTTACTCTGATGTAATTAATTCATGCCACAAATGATAAGACAAGTAACTATACTTGGCACTGTCCAAGGAGTGTTTGGACATCTGTAAAAGTATGCCACAAGCAGATGTGATCTGTTTAAAATGTATTGGGTCACCTGCCTAAAACAGAGCCCTGATCAATGACAGATGACTATTTCTCTTTTGTTAAAAAAAATCTTGAGTAATTGATCTAATAATTGGTATGTGACTCTCATCAGATATCCAGAGTCCTTCTGTCTTCTTTCATTCTCAAGATCATCTTACGGTCACAAGATAGCTGGTTGGTACTCTAGTCATCACCTCTGTGTTTGAGAGAGAAAAAGAGCAAAAGGGTACTTGATTGCTGAGTCAAGTTCTCTCTGAAGAAATTTCTTAGAAAACTAGAAGGCCCCAATGATTTTGCTCATTAGCCAGTCTTATCTGCAAGGAGGACAGGAAAATGTAGGTTAAAGATTCTATTTTCTTGTTTGGTTTTTTGGATGAATACATTGCTACCCTAGCAGTTTTGGAGGAAAATGGATATTGGTTTTTCAATTTAACTCGCTGTCATTCAAGAGTGATACATTGAATTCCTGAGAGCTCTGCTGGGTTTACTTGTGAACGGATTCCTCATGTGTCACGCAGGCTATGGAGACTGTGATAGCCTGCAGTTCAGATGCCCACAGCTAGCCAAGTCCCTGCAGATGCTTTGGGGTTTCATAAATGCTTCACTATTATAAATCAAATACTTGCATGTTTGTGATAACAGTGCTATCAGTCATTATTATCTACTACTGTTTGGAAACTTGGCACCAAGAAACCTCTCAAGACATATAGTACATGTCTTTTCCTCTTTGGGCAGCTTTGTCTGCTAAAGTTTTTCCCCTCAGAAACTGGTCTTGCTTTATTTGCCTGCTGGAAGTCTGTTACCTGAAACACATGGCACATATGTTGGTTCTTCTTTTTTCTCAGTACAGCCTTTCCAGGAGTTGGATGATCTCTGCCATCTCCACCTTTCTCAGGTCTAATCCTTCAGCAGTTTTCATCTACGTTATTCTGATCATTTGCAAATCATCTCCTAGGGCCGAGTGTAAAATGTGAATGAGCCACTGGAAGTGCTTGTTGAAATGCAGATTCTGAGTCAGTACGTCTGGGATTGGGCCTAAGATTCTCTGCTTCCAGTATCTCCCCACATAATGTTAATGCTGCTGGCTTATGGGGCACACTTCATGTAGCAAGTGAGCTGAGCCTTTCTGGACATATTTCCATTCATCTCTTAATAGTCAGCATCCAAGTCAAACTAAGTTGTCTAGTCAATTTAGAATGGAGCAGAATTATCAATTCCTTTATTCTAGGATTCATTATGTTCCTTCTAGTGATGTCTGCAATTTCATGAGCTTTTTGTAGTGTCACTCATCCATTATTTACTTAAACTAAGTTTACTGAAATCCTTAAAAGCTATTCCACAGGCCGCTCCTATTATGCGCTATCCTCCCATCTCATAGAGGTCTGGCATTGATCTCATTGAATTTCTTCACATTGGATGAGATTGAGCTCTCAGGCCAGTTTGGATTGCTTGACATCTGTTGCCTGATATGTTTACTATCATAGCTTGGGCTTCTATAAACGTGATAGGCCTTCTGTTTTTCCATTTAACTCTGCTAGAAATTTCTATCCATTAATTGAAGTTCTTTGGTACAAGCCTTTCTCCCTTCTTCTTGTTCACAAGGATATTGTGAAAGACTCTTACCACTATTCAAAGATGTAATGTCTTTATTTGGGTAAGATAGGTGGTTTTCCTGTAGAGGCAGAATTTATCACTCCAGTAGAGATGTCTGTTTTTATGGTTAAAGAGGCTTTTAGATTGGTATTGACACTCACTGATTATAAATTACAATAACCATTTATCCCAGAATTGTACTCCCTGAGCTGTTCTTAACTCATGTAATTTTTTAAAGTGCATTGATCTCTTTTCTACCTCTCTGTTTTCCCTTGTGACCAGATTGCTGTATGTCCCCAGAGGTGCTAGGGCCCATGAAAAATCCCTCACATTTTGTTCCCCTAAAGTGTTTCCTCAAGAGTTACACTTTGGTTAAAATAAAGAAGCTTTATCCCCCAACTGTGCTTATCTCCTTTGGATGTGAGCCTCTGTTCTGTTGAGTAGATCTCAATTCAGCCCCTTCCCTCATTTCCCAAGCTAAATTCTGCCCTGTGCATGTGGTGGTTTGTGTGATCCCTGGCTGAAGGCCAGTTGACCTGGATGCTCTCTTTCCCACCTGGGAAGGGGGTGGGGGGGAAGCTCAGCTGCACTGGGCAAAACCAAATGGCAGAGAGGGGGAATAGTGCCTTACCAGCAACCTCTTACTGCAAAACTGCACATGTGACAAAGTATGTAAATACACCTCTGCTGTTAACTGGCTAGCAGTCTCTGCTCATCTTGAGAAAGTGGTATGTAGAGAGTCTTTCTGATCACCTGCCCACCCAAGTCTCTCATGTGCCCATTTGTTCAGTCAGTACCATTGATTTTCTGTTCTATGCCAGACATGTGGTATCCAGTGATATGTGAGACCAACTTGCCCCTACTCTACCACAGTCCTAAAATCCTACCGCGTTGTGATGAGGGTTTTAAGAGATGCTTACATTACCTTTCTTTTTCTTGTTCCCAACAGGTTTATATCCGGATAAAAGATGATGAGTGGAATGTTTACCGACGGTACACAGAGTTCCGGGGTTTGCACCAGAAGCTACAGAACAAGTACCCTCAAGTGCGGGCCTACAACTTCCCACCCAAAAAAGCCATCGGAAATAAGGTACCATCCTCCGCAGGGACCAGCAGCCCTCCAGCCATAGCGTGTATTAAGGCATATCATTTCTTCTTCTTTCATTTCTTCTTCTGTTATTTTAAAATAGTGCTCCTTAAAGAGAAGTTGGCCAAAAGATAGAAAAAGGAAATAATCATTCATGATTCCAGCACATGAGGGAAGATATTACCACTATTCTTGTTTGTGAGTTTCTCCAGGATAAGGGTTGCTGACTTTTTCTTTAAAAGACCAAAAACCACAGAAATCATGTTTCTGTTTTTTTTTTTTTTTTCTTTTGAGACAGGGTCTCTCTATGTAGTTCAGGCTCACCTTGAGCTCACTATGTTGCCCAGGCTGGCTTCAAACTTGGAGTAATCCTTCTGCTTCAGCTTCCCAAGTGCTAGGATTACAGGCATATACCACCATACCCAGGTAGAAAGCAAATATTTTTGGCTTTGTAAAGTACAATAAGTCTCAATAAGTGCCATTCCAGGAGATGTTTGTAAGTTGGATGTATTCGTAAGTGTAGCAGTGCAAGCCTTATACACCTGTGACACAACTATGCAATGTATATTGCTTTGCACTTCCTCACAGTCCCCTCCATATGACCACTGCTTTTCCTCTCACTTCTGGACTTCCTGGGCTCTGACTGAGCACTGCACTACTGCACACTGTCACACTGTACAGTGAGCACACAGCAGCACCGCTGTGACAGTGTCCAGCAGACACGTGAGCTACTTCCAAGATTTGTTCACATCAACGAATGTTCGTAGTGTGAAATCCATTCATATCTTTAAATGTTTGCAACTCAGATGTTTGTAAGTCGGGGACTTACTATATACCATTTCAGCAGAACATTCTCAGCTCTGCCGGTGTACTGTGAATGTACTTGTAACAACGTGGACATAAATGGTGTGACTACAAGCCTTCAAATTTTATTTTTAAGGATAGGTACCAGCTGAGTTTGGCCTATGGGTCATAGATTGCAGACTCCTGCTGTGGGACCCAATTTTTTTTTCTAGTTTTCATTGGTAATTGTCGTGATATTCATCTAGACACATAGATATGAGGGAGAACTTTCTCAGAGGAGTTTCTTTTATTATAGGGCCATTGCCATCATGAAGGTTTGTGATTTATGATGATGAAATTTGTTTTTCTGTGTCTATCCTGGTGCCCCTGAGGAAGGAGGTGCCACCTTTGCAGATGGTTAGTTTCATTGGCCAGCGGGCATTTGTTAAGCACCTCTTATTTGTTGCTGTGCAAGAAACCTGCCCAGCACCGAACCAGACAGAGGGGTCTGGGCCTAGTGTAGTGCCTCCCATTGTTTGCTCTAACTAGTTTGTTCATTTGTCCTCCTGTACTTTGCATCACTTGGGGAGCTTTAAAAGCCACTGGCCACTTCCCACTCTTTCCTTTCCCTCTCTATTCTGGTTCAGTGGACCGGGAGTGAGGCCTGAGCATTGAGGGGTTTAACAGCTCTCTGGGTGGTTCAGGATGAGCCAAGCTTGAGCATTGGACTTGAGCTTGAGCTCAGAGTCAGGTGGAAGATAGAAGTACTTCAACAATTACAGTACTGTGGTACCACGGTTCATTCCATGATTCTGGGGAAAATGGCCATGCTTGTGTTCATGCAGAAAAGATGGCTGTGGTCATGTTCATCACCCTGATGCACAGTTTGCAAGCAAAAACAAAATTTTGTTAAACACTTCTGTTTGTGAACAAAGTTGTTCACAAACAGAAGTGCTTATGAACTGAGGTACCACTGTATATTAAACAGCTTGGCAGTCAGACAAGGCAGAGTCATGGCCCTTTTTAGGACATAAAGGAAAATAGGGATTGCATTAGGGATCTTCCCTCAGCTGTGTTCATTCTCAAAGTGTGGCTGCTGGTTGGCATTGCCTTACAGCCTGGTAGAAATGCACATTTCTGTGTGTGTGTGTGTGTGTGTGTGTGCGCGCGCGCACGCTTGTGCGTGCGTGCGTGTGCGTGAGCGTGCACTAATGGGAATCAGACCTGGGGCTAGGCAAGTGTCCTACAGCTGAGCTATATTCACAGCTGGAAATGCACATTCTTGGCTCCACTCTAGACCTGCTAACTCTGAAACTTGGGGGCTGAGTCCCAGCAGTGCCCCCACTAGCCTGCTGGCTGGTGCTGAGGGACAAGGCAGTGTGAGAGCCACCTCCTATGGCACTGACAGAGCAGGTGGCAGGTTTTGTACATGGTATATTTCCTAGTTTTTCTTTCCAAAAGGCCCCTTGGACCTTTGTTGCAGAAAAGCCAGGTAAGTCTCTGTAACCCACTGCCAGCATTTGGCAATTTTATAGAGGGGACCATGAGTACCAACTGCCATGTTTGTATGTGCATAGGTTTCTGTATCAAGTCCATGTGCTTGAATGTTTGGTTCAGTTCTGATATTTCTTTGTTGATTTTCTTTTGACTGAGGGTATTGAGGTCTCTTACTATAATTGTGTTGATGTTTATCTGATCTTTTATGATGTTGGGTATGCCAGTGTTTGGTACATACATGTTTATAATTGTTATCTTTTCCTGTTGAATTGTTCCTTTAACCCACATGTAGTGACCTTCTTTGCCGCCTCTAGTCAGTTTTGTCTTGAAGTCCAGTTTATATGAATATAGAACAGATACTCTTGCTTGTTTTTGAGTTCCTATTGCATGGAATATTGTTTTCCATTCTTTGAGTTTTAGTCTGTGAATGCCTTTTTAGATTAAACTATTAGAAATCTCAACACTTCAAATTCTGTAAGATTTCAATATGAATAATTTTAAAGCAGCTTTATTATAGATCCAGAATGAATGTCCTCCATCTTTCTGTTGCAGAAAAGTGGAGTTGAACCCACATATGTAGAAGACTTAAAAATTCTACAGTTGTTAACAGCCGGACATGGTGGCTCATGCCTGTAATCCCAGCACTTGGGAGGCTGAGGCAGGAGGATCACTGTGAGTTCGAGACCAGCCTGGGTTACAAAGTGAGCTCAAGGCCAGCCTGAGCTGCATATTGAGACCTTGTCTCAAAAAAAAAATTCTACTGTTGTTCATAGCAAGGATTATAATAATTCTTTGGAAAAGAGAAGGAAACATATACCGATTTAACCTAATGACTTATAAGCTCATACAAATTCTGAGATCCATCCAGAAAGTCTTAAAATGTCATAAAACAAAATTCTGCCTAACCTCTGTGTTATCATTTTAAGATGCTCTCCTTTGCAGGCAGGTTCCCTAAAACCTTCAGTAGACTTGACCTGACAGTTCTACCACAAGGCTAAATCAAGGGGATGCAGATGGTAAAATATTTTATGTTATATATTAGTTTCTTATTGCTACTGTAACAAATTTCTACAGATATAGGGTTCTATCCCAACACAAATTTGTTATTTCACAGTCATTGAAGTCAGAAGACCAAAATCAGTCTGATGGGGCTAAAATCAGGTGTCATCAAGGCACATCCTTCTAAAGGTTCCCAGAGAGAATGAGCTACTGATTGCTCTACATTTTTAGCTTGTGACCCTCTTCTGTCTTCACAACTGGCAGTTACATCACTCTGACATCTGATTCTGTTTTCATTGTCATATCTTGTCTCTGATTCTGACCTCCTGTGATCCAGTGGGCCCCACAAGACAATCCAAGATAATCTCCATATTAAGATCATTAATTTAATCATATAGGCTAAATCTCTTTGCCTTGTAAGGTTCTGGAGTGTCTTAGCTACTTTTCTCATTGCTAAGACAAAATACCTGATACTCAGAATTAAAGGAGGAAAGGTTTATTTAGCTCACAGTTTGTGGAGGTTTCAGTCCATAATCAGCTGGGTCCAAGACAGTGGTGTGGCACAGGGACAACAGTTCATGGTGGCAGAAGACAGCGGAAAGAAGCAAGACTTTCCCTCTCTTGTGTTGTATACAGGTCACCTGCCCAAGGGTGGGTGTAGCACTCACACCCACAATTCCAGCAGTAGGCAATGAACCAATCACAAACTCTAGCTGCCTCCAAAAAACCTGCCCTCCATGACCACATGAGGCTTTGTGGGGACTTCCAGACACAAACCAAAACATGGGGATTAGGATGTCACTAGGAGCCATTATTCAGCCAACCATACATTATACATTACTAAATGCTTTTTCTGTAGCCTAAACAGCTTCCTTACCATCTCAAAACTCCTCAAGCCCTGCAATTAGGTGAAACATGTATAAAATAAAAAGAATCTACCAAGAACACCAGTTCTGAGGATGCTGGAGTGTGAAGGTCAAGTTCAGGGAGATGAAACTAAGTCTGAGAAATAGGAGGGTTTTTTGGAGTAAATTCATTCAGAAAGAGTTCTGAGCCAATCAGAGTGGCAGGGACTATGCAAATGAGTTCCCATAGAAGGAATCCTCAGGACCCTGCTTCATATCTCTACCCTCACCTCCAGGTTAGAGCAGACAGTCCAGCAGTATCTTCTCCTCATAAGGGTATGTGCAAGTAAATGAGTTTGGAGATGGAGAGTACCCCTTGGTGGGCCTGACCCAGTGAAGACTTGCTTGTCAAAGTGCAGTGGCCAGTTGGTAGTCAGATTTCTGGTCCTGTTCCCTGTAGACAAGGATGGAACTGACAGCAGATGAGCAGTCATGGGCCACATCTTCCTCTCTAGCCTGTAGTGCCCTTTAACTTTTCATGGACTGGTTGGACAGTAACTGAACTTGGATTCCTCTTTCCTCTGCATGGAGTTAAGATATATTCACTTCTAGGGGTTGGGGTTTAGCTCAGTGGGACAGCATCTGCCTGGCAAGCGTGATGTCCTGAGTTTGAGTCCTGGTACCCTCCCCTCCCTAAAAAAAGATATACCCACTTCTAATTACCACTCTGCTTTGGCTGCCCAAGGAAGATCTGAGTAGTTCTCCCACATTTCAAGAGAGGATTGAGTTAGGACCCAGGACCTTCAATGCTCAAGAAAGGCTATTGATGAACTCAGTTTAAGCCTAAGCTTTCATTCTGCTTTGGTATCCTGAGGGTAA